CACAATGTTTTGAAAAGTGCAAATTTAACAAAGACTAATAGGGGAAAATCAATGGTGGTATTACACCTAATATGGGAAGCTGTACATGCACCTTTGACCTTGTGAGTACTCTCATGTGTTAAAATTTCTTGCTATTTAATTGAAATATTACAAATAATGAAATATTCTGAGTGGATTGAGTCTCCAAAATACATTTTATGAGAAAATTTCCTTGAAATAGGACTTTACCATGAATATAAGTTGACAGAACAAGCCATACTTAGAGTTTTGGGGAGCTTTTTCTCCTTATTTCTTATATTCTGCTATACTAGAATTTTTTTCCTAAGAAATACTTTAATAAATATATAGTTTTAAGTAAATGAAATTATTTTTAAAGCAGTAACAACAAATTATTCACCAAAAAAGAAGTATTTTATGTCCCTCTCTGGAACGCGGCGTAAATTTAAGTTTTACGTAAGGACTTATTGAAACCTCTTTGGAGACAGCAAACTTTTATACGGATAGTTCATTCAGCTTGAATACTTCAATTAATCATTTATAATAACATTTCAATCATAAATGAGTGAAAGTTACGCCAAATTTTTTATTTATTGGCCTAAAAAGTAGAAATTTTGAGGAAATGAGAGGTATAAATGGACCAAAAGAGACCTTAAAGGAAGACAAAGAGGTCCATTAGTAGTATTTATCATCCTAAAGTCATCTTTTGTATCATATTCAACTGTTTGTAGGCAGATGAGATAAATATTTGATCATTTATTAGTCCACACTATATTCTATCATGATGCAGCTTGGTTTTTTCGAAGAAATTTTGCTGGAAATGCTGTAAATGTCGTCTTACATCATACTAGCTTTTTCTCAAACTATTGAACTGATTATGACAAAACTTGACAGGAATGCTTGAAATAACCAGTATTACAAAGGAAAAAAGTCACATTCAGTTTATTTAACAAAAAAGTCTTCTTTAGGTGTAATACCACCAAATCATAATACGTCACATCCGGTTGCATACGAAAATAGGTCGAAACAAAATATTCCCTTGAATTTGACAGTTGTAGGTAATTGATCCTACATTTCATTGCAGTAAAACATTTCTGAGTCATAAACATATATCTTGGGTATTTCAAAGCACCATTATTTCTTTATTTGGGGTTTCTATAGAATATTTTGGAAACTTGAGGTTACATGGTTACTAAAGCTTGTACACAGGTTAAAAAAGGGGGAAAATTTGATTGGTTAACTTCCAGTGATGGTTATTTTCTTATATGCAATGAAATGTGATGTGAAATTTTTTCTATAGTACTGGACAGGATAAATCTTTACTCATGCCAAGTATTTCTTTATTTGAAACAAAGATAAATTCTGCACATTTTTTTGAAAAGTGCAAATTTAACAAAGACTAATAGGGGAAAATCAATGGTGGTATTACACCTAATATGGGAAGCTGTACATGCACCTTTGACCTTGTGAGTACTCTCATGTGTTAAAATTTCTTGCTATTTAAGTGAAATATTACAAATAATGAAATATTCTGAGTGGATTGAGTCTCCAAAATACATTTTATGAGAAAATTTCCTTGAAATAGGACTTTACCATGAATATTAGTTGACAGATCAAGCCATACTTAGAGTTTTGGGGAGCTTTTTCTCCTTATTTCTTATATTCTGCTATACTAGATTTTTCTTCCTAAGAAATACTTTAATAAATATATAGTTTTAAGTAAATGAAATTATTTTTAAAGCAGTAACAACAAATTATTCACCAGAAAAGAAGTATTGTATGTCCCTCTCTGGAACGCGGCGTAAATTTAAGTTTTACGTAAGGACTTATTGAAACCTCCTTGGAGACAGCAAACTTTTATACGGATAGTTCATTCAGCTTGAATACTTCAATTAATCATTTATAATAACATTTCAATCATAAATGAGTGAAAGTTACCCCAAAATTTTTATTTATTGGCCTAAAAAGTAGAAATTTTGAGGAAATGAGAGGTATAAATGGACCAAAAGAGACCTTAAAGGAAGACAAAGAGGTCCATTAGTAGTATTTATCATCCTAAAGTCATCTTTTGTATCATATTCAACTGTTTGTAGGCAGATGAGATAAATATTTGATCATTTATTGGTCCACACTATATTCTATCATGATGCGGCTTGGTTTTTTCGAAGAAATTTTGCTCGAATCGCTGTAAATGTCGTCTTACATCATACTAGATTTTTCTCAAACTATTGAACTGATTATGACAAAACTTGACAGGAATGCTTGAAATAACCAGTATTACAAAGGAAAAAAGTCACATTCAGTTTATTTAACAAAAAAGTCTTCTTTAGGTGTAATACCACCAAATCATAATACGTCACATCCGGTTGCATACGAATATAGGTCGAAACAAAATATTCCCTTGAATTTGACAGTTGTAGGTAATTGATCCTACATTTCATTGCAGTAAAACATTTCTGAGTCATAAACATATATCTTGGGTATTTCAAAGCACCATTATTTCTTTATTTGGGGTTTCTATAGAATATTTTGGAAACTTGAGGTTACATGGTTACTAAAGCTTGTACACAGGTTAAAAAAGGGGGAAAATTTGATTGGTTAACTTCCAGTGATGGTTATTTTCTTATATGCAATGAAATGTTATGTGAAATTTTTTCTATAGTACTGGACAGGATAAATCTTTACTCATGCCAAGTATTTCTTTATTTGAAACAAAGATAAATTCTGCACAATTTTTTGAAAAGTGCAAATTTAACAAAGACTAATAGGGGAAAATCAATGGTGGTATTACACCTAATATGGGAAGCTGTACATGCACCTTTGACCTTGTGAGTACTCTCATGTGTTAAAATTTCTTGCTATTTAAGTGAAATATTACAAATAATGAAATATTCTGAGTGGATTGAGTCTCCAAAATACATTTTATGAGAAAATTTCCTTGAAATAGGACTTTACCATGAATATAAGTTGACAGAACAAGCCATACTTAGAGTTTTGGGGAGCTTTTTCTCCTTATTTCTTATATTCTGCTATACTAGAATTTTTTTCCTAAGAAATACTTTAATAAATATATAGTTTTAAGTAAATGAAATTATTTTTAAAGCAGTAACAACAAATTATTCACCAAAAAAGAAGTATTTTATGTCCCTCTCTGGAACGCGGCGTAAATTTAAGTTTTACGTAAGGACTTATTGAAACCTCCTTGGAGACAGCAAACTTTTATACGGATAGTTCATTCAGCTTGAATACTTCAATTAATCATTTATAATAACATTTCAATCATAAATGAGTGAAAGTTACCCCAAAATTTTTATTTATTGGCCTAAAAAGTAGAAATTTTGAGGAAATGAGAGGTATAAATGGACCAAAAGAGACCTTATAAGGAAGACAAAGAGGTCCATTAGTAGTATTTATCATCCTAAAGTCATCTTTTGTATCATATTCAACTGTTTGTAGGCAGATGAGATAAATATTTGATCATTTATTGGTCCACACTATATTCTATCATGATGCGGCTTGGTTTGGATTTTTCGAAGAAATTTTGCTCGAATCGCTGTAAATGTCGTCTTACATTATACTAGATTTTTCTCAAACTATTGAACTGATTATGACAAAACTTGACAGGAATGCTTGAAATAACCAGTATTACAAAGGAAAAAAGTCACATTCAGTTTAGTTAACAAAAAAGTCTTCTTTATGGGAAGCTGTACATGCACCTTTGACCTTGTGAGTACTCTCATGTGTTAAAATTTCTTGCTATTTAAGTGAAATATTACAAATAATGAAATATTCTGAGTGGATTGAGTCTCCAAAATACATTTTATGAGAAAATTTCCTTGAAATAGGACTTTACCATGAATATTAGTTGACAGAACAAGCCACACTTAGAGTTTTGGGGAGCTTTTTCTCCTTATCTCTTATATTCTGCTATACTAGATTTTTTTTCCTAAGAAATACTTTAATAAATATATAGTTTTAAGTAAATGAAATTATTTTTAAAGCAGTAACAACAAATTATTCACCAAAAAAGAAGTATTTTATGTCCCTCTCTGGAACGCTGCGTAAATTTAAGTTTTACGTAAGGACTTATTGAAACCTCCTTGGAGACAGCAAACTTTTATACGGATAGTTCATTCAGCTTGAATACTTCAATTAATCATTTATAATAACATTTCAATCATAAATGAGTGAAAGTTACCCCAAATTTTTTATTTATTGGCCTAAAAAGTAGAAATTTTGAGGAAATGAGAGGTATAAATGGACCAAAAGAGACCTTAAAGGAAGACAAAGAGGTCCATTAGTAGTATTTATCATCCTAAAGTCATCTTTTGTATCATATTCAACTGTTTGTAGGCAGATGAGATAAATATTTGATCATTTATTAGTCCACACTATATTCTATCATGATGCAGCTTGGTTTTTTCGAAGAAATTTTGCTGGAAATGCTGTAAATGTCGTCTTACATCATACTAGCTTTTTCTCAAACTATTGAACTGATTATGACAAAACTTGACAGGAATGCTTGAAATAACCAGTATTACAAAGGAAAAAAGTCACATTCAGTTTATTTAACAAAAAAGTCTTCTGTAGGTGTAATACCACCAAATCATAATACGTCACATCCGGTTGCCTACGAAAATAGGTCGAAACAAAATATTCCCTTGAATTTGACAGTTGTAGGTAATTGATCCTACATTTCATTGCAGTAAAACATTTCTGAGTCATAAACATATATCTTAGGTATTTCAAAGCACCATTATTTCTTTATTTGGGGTTTCTATAGAATATTTTGGAAACTTGAGGTTACATGGTTACTAAAGCTTGTACACAGGTTAAAAAAGGGGGAAAATTTGATTGGTTAACTTCCAGTGATGGTTATTTTCTTATATGCAATGAAATGTGATGTGAAATTTTTTCTATAGTACAGGACAGGATAAATCTTTACTCATGCCAAGTATTTCTTTATTTGAAACAAAGATAAATTCTGCACAAATTTTTGTAAAGTGCAAATTTAACAAAGACTAATAGGGGAAAATCAATGGTGGTATTACACCTAACATGGGAAGCTGTACATGCACCTTTGACCTTGTGAGTACTCTCATGTGTTAAAATTTCTTGCTATTTAAGTGAAATATTACAAATAATGAAATATTCTGAGTGGATTGAGTCTCCAAAATACATTTTATGAGAAAATTTCCTTGAAATAGGACTTTACCATGAATATAAGTTGACAGAACAAGCCATACTTAGAGTTTTGGGGAGCTTTTTCTCCTTATTTCTTATATTCTGCTATACTAGAATTTTTTTCCTAAGAAATACTTTAATAAATATATAGTTTTAAGTAAATGAAATTATTTTTAAAGCAGTAACAACAAATTATTCACCAAAAAAGAAGTATTTTATGTCCCTCTCTGGAACGCGTCGTTAATTTAAGTTTTACGTAAGGACTTATTGAAACCTCCTTGGAGACAGCAAACTTTTATACGGATAGTTCATTCAGCTTGAATACTTCAATTAATCATTTATAATAACATTTCAATCATAAATGAGTGAAAGTTACCCCAAAATTTTTATTTATTGGCCTAAAAAGTAGAAATTTTGAGGAAATGAGAGGTATAAATGGACCAAAAGAGACCTTATAAGGAAGACAAAGAGGTCCATTAGTAGTATTTATCATCCTAAAGTCATCTTTTGTATCATATTCAACTGTTTGTAGGCAGATGAGATAAATATTTGATCATTTATTGGTCCACACTATATTCTATCATGATGCGGCTTGGTTTTTTCGAAGAAATTTTGCTCGAATCGCTGTAAATGTCGTCTTACATCATACTAGATTTTTCTCAAACTATTGAACTGATTATGACAAAACTTGACAGGAATGCTTGAAATAACCAGTATTACAAAGGAAAAAAGTCACATTCAGTTTATTTAACAAAAAAGTCTTCTTTAGGTGTAATACCACCAAATCATAATACGTCACATCCGGTTGCATACGAAAATAGGTCGAAACAAAATATTCCCTTGAATTTGACAGTTGTAGGTAATTGATCCTACATTTCATTGCAGTAAAACATTTCTGAGTCATAAACATATATCTTGGGTATTTCAAAGCACCATTATTTCTTTATTTGGGGTTTCTATAGAATATTTTGGAAACTTGAGGTTACATGGTTACTAAAGCTTGTACACAGGTTAAAAAAGGGGGAAAATTTGATTGGTTAACTTCCAGTGATGGTTATTTTCTTATATGCAATGAAATGTTATGTGAAATTTTTTCTATAGTACTGGACAGAATAAATCTTTACTCATGCCAAGTATTTCTTTATTTGAAACAAAGATAAATTCTGCACAATTTTTTGAAAAGTGCAAATTTAACAAAGACTAAAAGGGGAAAATCAATGGTGGTATTACACCTAATATGGGAAGCTGTACATGCACCTTTGACCTTGTGAGTACTCTCATGTGTTAAAATTTCTTGCTATTTAAGTGAAATATTACAAATAATGAAATATTCTAAGTGGATTGAGTCTCCAAAATACATTTTATGAGAAAATTTCATTGAAATAGGACTTTACCATGAATATTAGTTGACAGAACAAGCCATACTTAGAGTTTTGGGGAGCTTTTTCTCCTTATCTCTTATATTCTGCTATACTAGATTTTTTTTCCTAAGAAATACTTTAATAAATATATAGTTTTCAGTAAATGAAATTATTTTTAAAGCAGTAACAACAAATTATTCACCAAAAAAGAAGTATTTTATGTCCCTCTCTGGAACGCGGCGTAAATTTAAGTTTTACGTAAGGACTTATTGAAACCTCCTTGGAGACAGCAAACTTTTATACGGATAGTTCATTCAGCTTGAATACTTCAATTAATCATTTATAATAACATTTCAATCATAAATGAGTGAAAGTTACCCCAAAATTTTTATTTATTGGCCTAAAAAGTAGAAATTTTGAGGAAATGAGAGGTATAAATGGACCAAAAGAGACCTTATAAGGAAGACAAAGAGGTCCATTAGTAGTATTTATCATCCTAAAGTCATCTTTTGTATCATATTCAACTGTTTGTAGGCAGATGAGATAAATATTTGATCATTTATTGGTCCACACTATATTCTATCATGATGCGGCTTGGTTTTTTCGAAGAAATTTTGCTCGAATCGCTGTAAATGTCGTCTTACATCATACTAGATTTTTCTCAAACTATTGAACTGATTATGACAAAACTTGACAGGAATGCTTGAAATAACCAGTATTACAAAGGAAAAAAGTCACATTCAGTTTATTTAACAAAAAAGTATTCTTTAGGTGTAATACCACCAAATCATAATACGTCACATCCGGTTGCATACGAAAATAGGTCGAAACAAAATATTCCCTTGAATTTGACAGTTGTAGGTAATTGATCCTACATTTCATTGCAGTAAAACATTTCTGAGTCATAAACATATATCTTGGGTATTTCAAAGCACCATTATTTCTTTATTTGGGGTTTCTATAGAATATTTTGGAAACTTGAGGTTACATGGTTACTAAAGCTTGTACACAGGTTAAAAAAGGGGGAAAATTTGATTGGTTAACTTCCAGTGATGGTTATTTTCTTATATGCAATGAAATGTTATGTGAAATTTTTTCTATAGTACTGGACAGGATAAATCTTTACTCATGCCAAGTATTTCTTTATTTGAAACAAAGATAAATTCTGCACAATTTTTTGAAAAGTGCAAATTTAACAAAGACTAATAGGGGAAAATCAATGGTGGTATTACACCTAATATGGGAAGCTGTACATGCACCTTTGATCTTGTGAGTACTCTCATGTGTTAAAATTTCTTGCTATTTAAGTGAAATATTACAAATAATGAAATATTCTGAGTGGATTGAGTCTCCAAAATACATTTTATGAGAAAATTTCCTTGAAATAGGACTTTACCATGAATATTAGTTGACAGAACAAGCCATACTTAGAGTTTTGGGGAGCTTTTTCTCCTTATTTCTTATATTCTGCTATACTAGATTTTTCTTCCTAAGAAATACTTTAATAAATATATAGTTTTAAGTAAATGAAATTATTTTTAAAGCAGTAACAACAAATTATTCACCAAAAAAGAAGTATTGTATGTCCCTCTCTGGAACGCGGCGTAAATTTAAGTTTTACGTAAGGACTTATTGAAACCTCCTTGGAGACAGCAAACTTTTATACAGATAGTTCATTCAGCTTGAATACTTCAATTAATCATTTATAATAACATTTCAATCATAAATGAGTGAAAGTTACCCCAAAATTTTTATTTATTGGCCTAAAAAGTAGAAATTTTGAGGAAATGAGAGGTATAAATGGACCAAAAGAGACCTTAAAGGAAGACAAAGAGGTCCATTAGTAGTATTTATCATCCTAAAGTCATCTTTTGTATCATATTCAACTGTTTGTAGGCAGATGAGATAAATATTTGATCATTTATTGGTCCACACTATATTCTATCATAATGCGGCTTGGTTTGGATTTTTCGAAGAAATTTTGCTCGAATCGCTGTAAATGTCGTCTTACATTATACTAGATTTTTCTCAAACTATTGAACTGATTATGACAAAACTTGACAGGAATGCTTGAAATAACCAGTATTACAAAGGAAAAAAGTCACATTCAGTTTAGTTAACAAAAAAGTCTTCTTTATGGGAAGCTGTACATGCACCTTTGACCTTGTGAGTACGCTCATGTGTTAAAATTTCTTGCTATTTAAGTGAAATATTACAAATAATGAAATATTCTGAGTGGATTGAGTCTCCAAAATACATTTTATGAGAAAATTTCCTTGAAATAGGACTTTACCATGAATATTAGTTGACAGAACAAGCCATACTTAGAGTTTTGGGGAGCTTTTTCTCCTTATCTCTTATATTCTGCTATACTAGATTTTTTTTCCTAAGAAATACTTTAATAAATATATAGTTTTAAGTAAATGAAATTATTTTTAAAGCAGTAACAACAAATTATTCACCAAAAAAGAAGTATTTTATGTCCCTCTCTGGAACGCGGCGTAAATTTAAGTTTTACGTAAGGACTTATTGAAACCTCCTTGGAGACAGCAAACTTTTATACGGATAGTTCATTCAGCTTGAATACTTCAATTAATCATTTATAATAACATTTCAATCATAAATGAGTGAAAGTTACCCCAAAATTTTTATTTATTGGCCTAAAAAGTAAAAATTTTGAGGAAATGAGAGGTATAAATGGACCAAAAGAGACCTTATAAGGAAGACAAAGAGGTCCATTAGTAGTATTTATCATCCTAAAGTCATCTTTTGTATCATATTCAACTGTTTGTAGGCAGATGAGATAAATATTTGATCATTTATTGGTCCACACTATATTCTATCATGATGCGGCTTGGTTTTTTCGAAGAAATTTTGCTCGAATCGCTGTAAATGTCGTCTTACATCATACTAGATTTTTCTCAAACTATTGAACTGATTATGACAAAACTTGACAGGAATGCTTGAAATAACCAGTATTACAAAGGAAAAAAGTCACATTCAGTTTATTTAACAAAAAAGTCTTCTTTAGGTGTAATACCACCAAACCATAATACGTCACATCCGGTTGCATACGAAAATAGGTCGAAACAAAATATTCCCTTGAATTTGACAGTTGTAGGTAATTGATCCTACATTTCATTGCAGTAAAACATTTCTGAGTCATAAACATATATCTTGGGTATTTCAAAGCACCATTATTTCTTTATTTGGGGTTTCTATAGAATATTTTGGAAACTTGAGGTTACATGGTTACTAAAGCTTGTACACAGGTTAAAAAAGGGGGAAAATTTGATTGGTTAACTTCCAGTGATGGTTATTTTCTTATATGCAATGAAATGTTATGTGAAATTTTTTCTATAGTACTGGACAGGATAAATCTTTACTCATGCCAAGTATTTCTTTATTTGAAACAAAGATATATTCTGCACAATTTTTTGAAAAGTGCAAATTTAACAAAGACTAATAGGGGAAAATCAATGGTGGTATTACACCTAATATGGGAAGCTGTACATGCACCTTTGACCTTGTGAGTACTCTCATGTGTTAAAATTTCTTGCTATTTAAGTGAAATATTACAAATAATGAAATATTCTGAATGGATTGAGTCTCCAAAATACATTTTATGAGAAAATTTCCTTGAAATAGGACTTTACCATGAATATAAGTTGACAGAACAAGCCATACTTAGAGTTTTGGGGAGCTTTTTCTCCTTATTTCTTATATTCTGCTATACTAGAATTTTTTTCCTAAGAAATACTTTAATAAATATATAGTTTTAAGTAAATGAAATTATTTTTAAAGCAGTAACAACAACTTATTCACCAAAAAAGAAGTATTGTATGTCCCTCTCTGGAACGCGGCGTAAATTTAAGTTTTACGTAAGGACTTATTGAAACCTCCTTGGAGACAGCAAAATTTTATACGGATAGTTCATTCAGCTTGAATACTTCAATTAATCATTTATAATAACATTTCAATCATAAATGAGTGAAAGTTACCCCAAAATTTTTATTTATTGGCCTAAAAAGTATAAATTTTGAGGAAATGAGAGGTATAAATGGACCAAAAGAGACCTTATAAGGAAGACAAAGAGGTCCATTAGTAGTATTTATCATCCTAAAGTCATCTTTTGTATCATATTCAAATGTTTGTAGGCAGATGAGATAAATATTTGATCATTTATTGGTCCACACTATATTCTATCATGATGCGGCTTGGTTTTTTCGAAGAAATTTTGCTCGAATCGCTGTAAATGTCGTCTTACATCATACTAGATTTTTCTCAAACTATTGAACTGATTATGACAAAACTAGACAGGAATGCTTGAAATAACCAGTATTACAAAGGAAAAAAGTCACATTCAGTTTAATTAACAAAAAAGTCTTCTTTATGGGAAGCTGTACATGCACCTTTGACCTTGTGAGTACTCTCATGTGTTAAAATTTCTTGCTATTTAAGTGAAATATTACAAATAATGAAATATTCTGAGTGGATTGAATCTCCAAAATACATTTTATGAGAAAATTTCCTTGAAATAGGACTTTACCATGAATATAAGTTGACAGAACAAGCCATACTTAGAGTTTTGGGGAGCTTTTTCTCCTTATTTCTTATATTCTGCTATACTAGAATTTTTTTCCTAAGAAATACTTTAATAAATATATAGTTTTAAGTAAATGAAATTATTTTTAAAGCAGTAACAACAAATTATTCACCAAAAAAAAAGAAGTATTTTATGTCCCTCTCTGGAACGCGGCGTAAATTTAAGTTTTACGTAAGGACTTATTGAAACCTCCTTGGAGACAGCAAAATTTTATACGGATAGTTCATTCAGCTTGAATACTTCAATTAATCATTTATAATAACATTTCAATCATAAATGAGTGAAAGTTACCCCAAAATTTTTATTTATTGGCCTAAAAAGTAGAAATTTTGAGGAAATGAGAGGTATAAATGGACCAAAAGAGACCTTATAAGGAAAACAAAGAGGTCCATTAGTAGTATTTATCATCCTAAAGTCATCTTTTGTATCATATTCAAATGTTTGTAGGCAGATGAGATAAATATTTGATCATTTATTGGTCCACACTATATTCTATCATGATGCGGCTTGGTTTTTTCTAAGAAATTTTGCTCGAATCGCTGTAAATGTCGTCTTACATCATACTAGATTTTTCTCAAACTATTGAACTGATTATGACAAAACTTGACAGGAATGCTTGAAATAACCAGTATTACAAAGGAAAAAAGTCACATTCAGTTTATTTAACAAAAAAGTCTTCTTTATGGGAAGCTGTACATGCACCTTTGACCTTGTGAGTACTCTCATGTGTTAAAATTTCTTTCTATTTAAGTGAAATATTACTAATAATGAAATATTCTGAGTGTATTGAGTCTCCAAAATACATTTTATGAGAAAATTTCATTGAAATAGGACTTTACCATGAATATAAGTTGACAGAACAAGCCATACTTAGAGTTTTGGGGAGCTTTTTCTCCTTAATTCTTATATTCTGCTATACTAGAATTTTTTTCCTAAGAAATACTTTAATAAATATATAGTTTTAAGTAAATGAAATTATTTTTAAAGCAGTAACAACAAATTATTCACCAAAAAAGAAGTATTTTATGTCCCTCTCTGGAACGCGGCGTAAATTTAAGTTTACGTAAGGACTTATTGAAACCTCCTTGGAGACAGCAAAATTTTATACGGATAGTTCATTCAGCTTGAATACTTCAATTAATCATGTATAATAACATTTCAATCATAAATGAGTGAAAGTTACCCCAAAATTTTTATTTATTGGCCTAAAAAGTAGAAATTTTGAGGAAATGAGAGGTATAAATGGACCAAAAGAGACCTTATAAGGAAGACAAAGAGGTCCATTAGTAGTATTTATCATCCTAAAGTCATCTTTTGTATCATATTCAACTGTTTGTAGGCAGATGAGATAAATATTTGATCATTTATTGGTCCACACTATATTCTATCATGATGCGGCTTGGTTTTTTCGAAGAAATTTTGCTCGAATCGCTGTAAATGTCGTCTTACATCATACTAGATTTTTCTCAAACTATTGAACTGATTATGACAAAACTTGACAGGAATGCTTGAAATAACCAGTATTACAAAGGAAAAAAGTCACATTCAGTTTATTTAACAAAAAAGTCTTCTTTAGGTGTAATACCACCAAATCATAATACGTCACACTCGGTTGCATACGAAAATAGGTCGAAACAAAATATTCCCTTGAATTTGACAGTTGTAGGTAATTGATCCTACATTTCATTGCAGTAAAACATTTCTGAGTCATAAACATATATCTTGGGTATTTCAAAGCACCATTATTTCTTTATTTGGGGTTTCTATAGAATATTTTGGAAACTTGAGGTTACATGGTTACTAAAGCTTGTACACAGGTTAAAAAAGGGGGAAAATTTGATTGGTTAACTTCCAGTGATGGTTATTTTCTTATATGCAATGAAATGTTATGTGAAATTTTTTCTATAGTACTGGACAGGATAAATCTTTACTCATGCCAAGTATTTCTTTATTTGAAACAAAGATAAATTCTGCACAATTTTTTGAAAAGTGCAAATTTAACAAAGACTAATAGGAGAAAATCAATGGTGGTATTACACCTAATATGGGAAGCTGTACATGCACCTTTGACCTTGTGAGTACTCTCATGTGTTAAAATTTCTTGCTATTTAAGTGAAATATTACAAATAATGAAATATTCTGAGTGGATTGAGTCTCCAAAATACATTTTATGAGAAAATTTCCTTGAAATAGGACTTTACCATGAATATAAGTTGACAGAACAAGCCATACTTAGAGTTTTGGGGAGCTTTTTCTCCTTATTTCTTATATTCTGCTATACTAGAATTTTTTTCCTAAGAAATACTTTAATAAATATATAGTTTTAAGTAAATGAAATTATTTTTAAAGCAGTAACAACAAATTATTCACCAAAAAAGAAGTATTTTATGTCCCTCTCTGGAACGCGGCGTAAATTTAAGTTTTACGTAAGGACTTATTGAAACCTCCTTGGAGACAACAAAATTTTATACGGATAGTTCATTCAGCTTGAATACTTCAATTAATCATTTATAATAACATTTCAATCATAAATGAGTGAAAGTTACCCCAAAATGTTTATTCATTGGCCTAAAAAGTAGAAATTTTGAGGAAATGAGAGGTATAAATGGACCAAAAGAGACCTTATAAGGAAGACAAAGAGGTCCATTAGTAGTATTTATCATCCTAAAGTCATCTTTTGTATCATATTCAACTGTTTGTAGGCAGATGAGATAAATATTTGATCATTTATTGGTCCACACTATATTCTATCATGATGCGGCTTGGTTTTTTCGAAGAAAGTTTGCTCGAATCGCTGTAAATGTCGTCTTACATCATACTAGATTTTTCTCAAACTATTGAACTGATTATGACAAAACTTGACAGGAATGCTTGAAATAACCAGTATTACAAAGGAAAAAAGTCACATTCAGTTTATTTAACAAAAAAGTCTTCTTTAGGTGTAATACCACCAAATCATAATACGTCACACTCGGTTGCATACGAAAATAGGTCGAAACAAAATATTCCCTTGAATTTGACAGTTGTAGGTAATTGATCCTACATTTAATTGCAGTAAAACATTTCTGAGTCATAAACATATATCTTGGGTATTTCAAAGCACCATTATTTCTTTATTTGGGGTTTCTATAGAATATTTTGGAAACTTGAGGTTACATGGTTACTAAAGCTTGTACACAGGTTAAAAAAGGGGGAAAATTTGATTGGTTAACTTCCAGTGATGGTTATTTTCTTATATGCAATGAAATGTTACAGACCTTCTAAAATTCAAACTGACCACACGCACGATACACGCACGCACGATACACGCACGGTGAATGCACGATACACGCACGGTGAATGCACGATACACGTTACACGCACGATGAGCGATAAGCGTTACACGGAGGATTAACGAAAAATGAATGATGAATGATGAACGCACGATACACGCACGATGCACGATGAATGATGAACACACGATACACGCACGATACACGCACGGTGAATGATTCATTGATGAATGAACGATAAGCGCTTAATACACGGTTCTCAAAGCCATTTTATTTGGAATTGCATTTAAGATTGATGTATGATAATGAAAATCTATAAGGGTATACAAATTTTAGATATCTCGCTTTCTGTGTTGATTGGTCGACAGTTTTACTAAACACTCCATGTATTAAATAAATTAATTGTAGTATAGTATTTCCAATATCAATGAGTGTTATCAAATTATAAAACTCATCGATTTTATAATTCTACTTAATATAAATAATTTATAAATTGCTACGTTTTAAAGAGTGGCGATTCCAGCCATTTTTAAAAAGAGGGTTCTCAACCCAGGATAAAAGGGGTGGTTTTAACCATATGTCCCCATTCAAATGCATTGACCCCCGCCCCCCTTCTTTTTATATGCCTAAATTTGTAACCTTAACTAATTAATTATCATATGTTTACGTTCCGAAATTTAGGAAATATTTGTATGTTTCGAAGTTTAGTATGATGTCCATTATCACTGAACTAAAATTCATTTTTGTTTAGGGACCAGCTGAAAAACGCCTTCGGTGCGGGATTTTCTACCCATTGGTGGCCTTCGACTGTTTTCTGCCTGTACGTCTAAACACTGCTAAGGACTTATAATATGCCACTAAGGACTAGAAAGGACGTGTTACTTGTACTCTGTTTTCATACTATGGTAGAGATAGATAGATTTTTATTACATAAATTCCAATTTTTAAAGAAAAAGAATCTATTAAATGAGTAGTTGAACAATATTTGGAACGTGCCGGTTTTTCCTTGATATTGCCGAAAATCAGTGATCCGACTGACACGAGCGAACTTACATAACAACTGATTAAACAATCATAATCTCTTTTTTTTTTACTTAAGTTACAATGTTCCTTATATTATCAGAATCGTATGAGTTAATTTAGAGCAAAATATATAATTTGTCAGAAAAATCTGATTCATAAAATTAATTAGAAATAGCTAAGAAAATGAAATTTACCAAATAATGAGAAAATTTAAACATTTGTTATACCAAATACTTCATAATATACTTTTGAAACGACTTTTTGTCCTGAATATGCATGAAATTTTTGCCACTGGACGTTTAAACAACCACTGAATAATCAATCAATCAAATTTTGCTCTCAGTAAAAATGAATTAAACAATATAAGCCACAATTGTATCCATCACTTGGTGTCTGTTGTTTGTTTGTACAGTAAACATACTGAATCTTTTTATATTCCTTATACAATTTCAAGTATGTAATAAAATTCATACATATTTTCAAACATCCTGGCACTTCAAATTTCTAGGAGGTGAGATTCTCGGGGTTTTACCTGAAACTCTTTGGGAAATGCAATTTTTAATTCCAATTCCAATTCCAAACTGTAAAAGATATCCCAAGGTTTTTTAAAATGCATTTCTAATTTGATAAGGAGATTTGAAGAAAAAAACGATCTCAATGGTAGTTGAAATTATTCAGTGCAATCATTTTGTGTCCGTCGTTGTCTTTCATACATATCAATTGGTGTATCCACTGTTTGCTGTTCGTTATCTGTTGTTTATGGCAGTCAGGCCTCGCGATCGGTCTCCAAATTTAAGCCCCCACTTAGGTAAATTAATGATCATTTATAGGGGGGGGGGGGGGGCTTTTTTCTCGGGACAAACATTATTTTCCTTCCTTAAAAACAACTTAACAATTTTCTATATTTTTCATTTAATCATAAACCGATGAATATTAAATGATTTTTAAAAAATTAAAAAAATATTTTTATTCTAATATATCTAAATGTCTGGGTTATTTTCTTATCCAAATAATTATTTTTCATTTTTTTAAAGGAAAAAGTGTTATCAGTTATGGCCCCCTCATTTTAGACATGACATTTTGCTTGATACTGTATGAAGATTATTCGTTGCAACTTTTATGAAGAAATTACCTACTTTTTTTTAACTAGATGAATATACAACAAAAATACAGTTTTTTCTTCTTGTATCAATTTCTTTTCACAAAAATTAAATATTAACAAAGAATTGTTACACAAATGTAGAGCCCAATTTTATAACGAAGATATTCCCAATCTCTTTACCGAAATCCGCATATCTTTATCTTTTGAAACAAAAAAGTTAAAGATGTCTGTTCAAAGGACAAAAATGTCCAAGAAACCGAAATGTTATAAGTAAAATTTTTTAATGTCGAATAATTCAAACCCATTTGTCTTATAACTTTTGTAAAAAAAAATCACTGTGGTTCTAAAACTGTATCACATGCCCATAATTGTCCTAAAGCTAAACGTCATAGTCAGATTATGAGGGTCTGAATAGGGATTCATTATTTCTGTATTCTATCATTTTAGGCAATTTTTTCTAATCGTTATACCTTTTGTCGATCATTTTTTATTCCATATATTCTAGTACCTCATCATTTTCTTTTCTATAAATTTGTCTGATTATTTTTTGTATTCTTTATTTTTTGGTCAATAATTTTCTATTCTATAAACCCCCATCCACACCCTCATGTATAATGGAAGACGATAAACATTTTAGTATACATACCACCCGTTGTCACTTTCACCTGACATACAAACCACAAATTGTTATTTTTACCTGGACACGGGACTTATATAATTACGTAATAATAACGGATATAGTAAATTCAGTAGAATATAACCTGTATCAACGCACTGGCTTGTTAAATGAATATTGCTCTGGCAACTGTTTATCATATTTTATGTTATTTTAAAATTGAGAATGGAAATGATGAATATGTCAAAGAGACAACAACCCGAAAAGAGCAGATGACAGCCGAAGGCCACCATATTTGATAAGGTTTTAGTTTCTAATGAGACAGTAACCATCGTATTTTCAGAAAATCTCTAAACGGATAATAAGAGTTTAGCGACCTTGACTGGCTATACAGCCCAAGCACGGTCGGTCTCTAAAAGTTGCCGAATTTAAGAGCCTATATCAAGAGATAGGCTTTACCTAGCTTTAGGTGTTTAAAAAATATCCATTTAAGAACCAAATGTGGCTTCTTTATATTTATACCAAAATTGAGTTCAAGGCAGTATTTTGTCGAAGAGAACAATTACACAAAGTGCAACATGCGAGAAGAGGTTTCATTTCCCTTATTTATTTTTTATTGAAGTGAGTAATCTTTTGAGATTACTTCACGGAAATATATTTTAAATGAAAAGGTACAACTGGATGCATCCCTAAAAAACAAATTTAAATATATATATATTACCTGAAGATCTGTAAAAGCAGTGAAAGCGCTAGTAAAAGTGATGAATTGAAACCGTTATTATCTTTTATTATATTTTCTTATATGTTACCAGCTTACGAATTCTACTTAACTTTTACTTTAAAGTAAGTTACCTGACATCTAGAATAAGAGGTTTAAGCATACCCCGCGCTGGTCAACTTTCTGAGTTGTGGGTAAAATTCAATATACATGTAGGACTGTAAAACGGGAAATATACGAAAGATTTGTTTTTACGTACGATGAAGTGTCATTCCCTCAATACATACGGGTCCACCGTGAAACTATTCTTATGATTATATAACGGTAAATGATGATCTCATTAGAGGAACAAATTAAGTAAAGATACATGTTGAAGCAAGAATAATTTCCACATGCAAAACATCAAATAGGACGATCTCTAAATTAGTACGCGGCAACTTTAACTATTACATTCATAGACAATAACACTAGTAAATGCTTTATATACTGACATTGAAACAAATATACTGCTCATAATAATTGCACATCTGTAGACTTTAATCTAGGTATCCCGCGTTATATAAACCATCGCAAACCATCGAACAGCTCATCGCACTTCGGCGCAGACCAGCGCACTTCACGCGTGGCAATCAAACTTTATGATCTCCATTGCACCTCCGAGTCATACACACATATATATTCCGATTTTCTAATAATGGTTTTTATTATTTTAATTCCCGTA